TGTGTGTGTGTGTGTGTGTGTGTGTGTGTGTGTGTGTGTGTGTGTGTCTCCTTTACTAATCATTTTTTTCTTTTAATTTTTATTAATATATTTTGATTTATCAACAATCACTTCCATAAGCTTTTGAGTTTAAAATTTTTCTCCCCCTCCCTCCACCCTCCCTCCCTAGATGGCACATAATCTGATGTAGGCTATACATATACATTCCTATTAAACATATTTTCACATTTGTCATGTTGTAAGGAAGCATTAGAACCAATAGGGAGAACCACCAGAAAGAGGAAACAAAACAAAACACAAGAAAAAAATAGCAAATAGTATGCTTCGATCTGCATTCAAACTCCATAATTGTTTCTTTGAATGTGGATAGCATTTTCCATCATGAGACCTTTGGAGATATCTTAAATCCTTGTGATGGGATGCTTGAGTGTCTGTGTTTGGGTGCTTGTGCTTGTACTTGGACCCCAATTTCTCCCTAGTCTCACAAACAGTCTCTGACAATCACTCCCCAGCCCAAAGACACTGTGCCTAGCAATTACTCATGAGTGGGCCCCAGCAAGATCCTTATCTCTCTCCCTGGTGCAGCTACACAACTGGATGAGAGAGTGCTGGGCTGCTCAGGCCCCAGCCCCAAGATTATGTCTCTGGAAGCCTCCCAATTCCTTACTAAGCTCCTGTCTTGTAAGAAAACTTTCTCTTGTTGCAGAGCGTTCTCTAATCACAACAGAGAGAGAGGGGTGTCTTGTCTGGCCCAAGCAGTTTTGTCCCTGGCTGGCCCAGTGACTCTTCCTCCTGCCAGATTTCTAAGACACATGCCTCTGACATCTCCCTCCCTGTCTGGTATACTCCCTACACTTTCCCATCCATAGCTCCCAAAGACACCTGGATGTTTAGATTACCTAATCAGTATCCCTGGCATTCCTTTCCCATGCTCTTTTCCATATAAACCCTAGCTCCATCCTCAGTCTCTCACAGGTTCCTTAAGAATCCTTGCCCACTGAAAAGCGCAACAATAAACTTTTTGCCAACTTGACTTAAAGAATGCTTGAGTCTATGAATTCATTCCAGACGACCCCGTCCTATACTCCAGTCTTTGAGGGATCTCAACCTCTCATACTGCAACACTTGCAACATTCCCCAATTCTCTGGATGTGAATAGCATTTTCCATCAAGAGTCTTTTGGAACTGTCTTAGATCCTTGCATCGCTGAGAAGAGCTAAGTCTATCAAAATTAGTCATCACACAATGTGGCTGTTACTGTGTATAATGTTTACCTGGTTCTGCTCACTTCACTCAGCATCAGTCCATATGAGTCTTTCCAGGTTTTTCTGAAGTCCGCTTGCTCATCATTTCTTATGGCACAATAGTATTCCATTACATTCATATACCATGACTTGTTCAGCCATTCCCCAATTGATGAGCATCCTCTCAATTTCCAATTCTTAGTCACCACAAAAAGAGCTGCTATAAATATTTTTGTACATGTGGGTCCTTTTCCCATTTCTTTGATCTCTTTGGGATACAGGCCTAGAAGTGCTATGGTTGGGTCAAAGGGTAGCCCTTTGGACATAGTCCCAAATTGCTCACCAAAATGGATGGATCATTTCACAACTCCATCAACAATGCATTAGTATTCCAGTTTTCCCACATCTTCTTCAACATTTATCATTTTCTTGTTTTGTCATGTTGGCCAATCTGATAGGTGGGATGTGGTACCTCAGAGTTGTTTTGATTTGCATTTCTCTAATCAATAGTGATTTAGAACATTGTTTTCATATGACTATAGATGGCTTTAATTTTTTCATCTGAGAACTACCTGTTCATACCCTTTGATCATTAATCAATTGGGGAATTTTGGGGAATTAATTTTCTATATATTTTAGAAATGAGGACCTTATAAGAGACACTGGTTGTAAAAATTCTTTCCCAGTTTTCTACTTCCCTACTAATCTTGGTTACATTCGCTTTGTTCGTGTAAAACCTTTTCAATTTAATGTAATCAAAGTTATCCATTTTGCATTTTGTAATGTTCTCTATCTCCTGTTTGGTCACGAATTCTTCTGTTCTCCATAAATCTGACAGGTAAACTATTCCTTGCTCTCCCAGTTTGCTTGTAGTATCAGCCTTTATATCTAAATCATGAACCCATTTTGACTTTATGTTGATATATAGTGTGAGATTTTGGTCTATGACTCAGTTCTGCCATACTGTTTTCCAGTTTTCCCAGCAATTTTTGTCAAATAGTGAGTTCTTATCCCAAAAGCAAGGCATCATTTCTTATAGCACAATAGTATTCCATTACATTCACATACCACAACTTGTTCAGCCTTTCCCCAATTGATGGGCATCCTCTCAATTTCCAATTCTTTACCACCACAAAAAGAGCTGCTATAAATATTTTTGTACATGAGGGTCCTTTTCCCATTTGTGTGATCTCTTTGGGATATAGCCCTAGAAGCACTATGACTAGGTCAAAGGGTATGCACATGTTTATAACCTTTTGGGCATAGTTCCAAATTGCTCTCCAAAATGGATGGATCATTTCACAACTCCACCAACAATGTATTAGTGTTCCAATTTTCCCACATCTTCTCCAACATTTATCATTTTCTTGTTTTGTCATGTTGGCCAATCTGATAGGTGTAATGTGGTACCTTAGAGTTGTTTTGATTTGCATTGCTCTAATCAATAGGGATTTAGAGCATTTTTTCATATGACTATAAATGGCTTTAAATTTCTTCAGCTGAGAACTGCCTGTTCATATCCTTTGACCATTTATCAATTGGGAAATGACTTGTATTTTTATAAATTTGACTCAATTCTCTATATAATTTAGAAATGAGGCCTTATCAGAGAGACTGGTTGTAAAAATTCTTTCCCAATTTTCTACCTTCCTTCTAATCTTAGTTGCATTGGCCTTGTTTGTGCAAAAACTTTTCAATTTAATGTAAACAAAATTATCCATTTTGCTTTTTGTAATGTTCTCTATCTCCTGTTTGGTCATGAATTCTTCAGTTTTTCATAAATCTGATAGGTGAACTATTCCTTGCTCTCCAAGTTTGCTTGTAGTATCAGCCTTTATATCTAAATCATGAACCCATTTTGACTTTATTTTGATATATGGCATGAGATTTTGATCAATGCTTAGTTTGTGTTCAAGGCCTATTCTTGTGAAACATGAGCATGTCATGGAAGTCCACTATGGAGTCAAAGATGTAGAAATGTTTTTCTGAAATGGTGATGTCTTCCAGAGGATTAGATATGTGAAAAACATGGTTCTGGATGTTTCAATCCCTGGAGGAGGATTTCTTGGATAAGATCATTAATGACTCAAAGGAGTTTAGCATACCATCCACATGGAAAATACCCTGGTCATTCAAGAACATAAAGAATACACCAGCACAGGTGTGTACTTAAATACAGAAAAATACATACGCACATATATGTATATGTATGTTTGTAAGTGATATCCAATTCCATTTGCTATGGGAAAATAATAAAGTTCCCCATGTGGATTGGCTTTGTAGAATATTGCTGAAGCTCCTGGTGAAATGTAAATCAGGTGGGGCACATTGGGTGTTGATACAAATGAGGCACACAAAGTGATGATACCAAGTACAAAGAAGATAGACTTTATTCTCATTGGTTTTCATAATCATATACAACTTATTAAGCATTTCAACATAAATTCAAATGAATAGAAAGTCATTTTAGGTGTCATTATTCAGTCACTTGTAATTGAGAGTATTCCCATAGAAATGAGCCTCATTGACAGCTCTCTACAGATGACCCTGGAGGCAGATGAGTGATCCACAGTTATTTTCTTTACCAGGAGGGCAAGGAGAAAAGTAAGGCCACCATACCATCCACATAGAAAATATTCTAGTGATTCAAGAATGAAAAGCACATTTGTGTGCTTACATACAGAAAAACACATATGCACAAATATATATGTGTGTGCATATACACATATGCATGTATGATTTGTTTCCATCTTAGAAATATACAGTGTTTTTATGTGATATCCATTTCCATTTGCTACAGGAAAATAATAAAGTTCCCCTATGGATTGGCTTTGTTCTTAATCTCTCAGTGAAGTGTCAATGAGGTGAGGCACATTGGGTATATCAACACAAAGTGAAGCACATTAATGTTGATACCAAGTACTAACAAGAAAGACTTTATTCTCATTGGTTTTCATGATCATACACAACTTATTAAGCATTTCAACCTAAGTTCAAATGAATAGAAGGTCATTTTCAGTGTAATTTAGAGTCACTTGTTGTTGAGAGTATTCCCATAGTAGTGAGCATCATAGACAACCATCTACTGATTACTCCAGGAGTAGATAATGAGTGATGGAGGGATATTTTCATCATTAGGATAGCAAGGAGAAAAATAAGGCCGAAGAGGTCCTTGAAAGGCTACGTTTGGAGGGCTATAGATGAGGGATTTGTCTGTGACATTGTAAAATCCTATATGTCCTTTTTCATAATCAAGAAAAATACCCACGTTGTGAATAGGCTTGCTTTTATGCAAACCACATTGTGAATTCCAGAGAAAGAAATCATTTCCGGATTTGAAAGCAACTAGGGTTCTTACATCCTTGGAT